GTGAAGGGTTCCTCAGACGGGGTGTGAAGGGTTCCTCAGACCAGGGGTGAAGGGTTCCTCAGACCGGGTGTGAATCCCTCCTGGGCTCATGTATCCTCTGCCCTGATTCAATCACATCATCTTCTTCTGTGTTTCAGGATTTCGACCTGGCTTCCATCTACGTGTCGGACGCTCAGTACAACAGAAACATCTGTTTGGACGCGTCGCCTCAGGCTGTGAAGTGAGACGTTCACACTCATGTGTTCATTCTCTCCTGGTGATGTTTTCATTCATTAACCTGGAGACGACCACTTTCGTGCATCATGGTTCCTTATTTCCGTCGGATCAGTCGGAGAGTGTGTTTTTAAAATCACCAGCTGATCTCGTTTGGAGTCGAACCGGTGATGAACGTGTCTGATTAAAAAACCGACGGATGATATATTCAACGTGAAATTCCCCAGTTACCACAGACTGTAAATAAAGATGGACGACGGGACAGCTCCTGAAAGTGAAGCCAAATCATCTCTATCGCCCCTGGTGGCTGGCTGAGGTACAGGTTATAAACCTCCTCCATGTTTGCAGCCGGGACATGGACCAAACTAAAAAATCAAAGTGGACGTTTGTCAAAGATGTTTCTGTCGTTTCAGGTCGTTCTTATCTCACTGATGTTTGTTCAAGTGTTTCCGATCACTTTTGATTTTAATACGTTATTTGAGTCATCATGATTGACAGCTGAAACTGACTCAGGATTGGTCGCGCACATGAATGGGCGGGAGCTCGATACCACGGCTCCACTCGACGATACTGAACAGACTGACTGCAAATGATGTCATCACCACAAGACGGCAGTTTTCATAGTGGAGATAATTTGGCTTCATTTCTGGAGGAAGTGGAAACGAGTCGTCTTTATTTACAGTTTATTAGAGCAACGTATGTTTCTCAGTTAATAATAATAAAACAATACATGTTTCCTTTATTATTTGAGTTCTTAGAGAAACAAACACATATTGATATAAAGACAGATTTGATGTGTGTGTGTGTGTGTGTGTGTGTGTGTGTGTGTGTGTGTGTGTGTGTGTCTTCAGACTGTATCTTCTCTACAACCACTGGTTTCTGAAGGTTCTGCTCTACTTCTTCATCCTGGTGGATCTGTCTCTGGCCGCCTTCGAGGAGCCGGCCGTCTTCTCTCTGCCCATGTGGGTAAGATGGCCGCCTGGTTTCATGACAGTGATGTGTGTTCAGTGAAAACTACTAACGATGTTCAGCCAAGTGCTCAGAAGCCGTCACGTCCACAATCCTGACGTTTGCTGGAGGTGGTTCTGCTTCCACATGCTAGTTGACACGCTAACAACAGAAACCTTCACACGTGACCTTTAATAAAAATCAAACCAGATGTGTGGACACGTGTTTATTGTTTATGTTTTCAGGCCACCATGTTGGTGGAGCTGCTCTGTTTGCTGGTCTTCACCGCTCGACTGGTTCACTACGCCAAGGTCATCCCTCGGGACAAGTTCTGGAAAGACGCCAAAAACATCTGCATCATTGTCGTGCTCATAGTAAGAGGAAACATCTGCATCATCAGGCAGTGGTTTGACCTAGTGGCCGCTCAGTGTACTGCAATGATGAAAACACGTTTGCTGAAAAAACACTGAACCAGAACCAGGATGCAACATGTGTGTATGTACCTTTAAGAGCGGGTGAGGCGTTTGCATCTCGTCCATGATGTCATCGTTTTTTTAAGACATGTGACTGATGAAAGACCTGCAGGAAAGGTGAATTATGGGAAATGTAGTTCATTTGTTAGCCCTCTTATCCTTGATTTTTCTGTGACTTGTTGTTGCATAAATAATTCACCTGTTCATTGGTAAAATTACAAACTGCAGGAAATGTGCTGGAGCTGTGAGGACACCTGTTCTCTTCTCCTGCTGCAATGTACGGTCAAGTGCCTCCTGTTGAATTGTGGGTGGATGTGTCTCAGGACTGCTATAGACGGGTCCCATGGAAACATGCGTGTTTGCATTGACATGTTTGGACTCATGGATGAGGTTATTTCCTGAGACGGAGCTCCTGGTTTATTTTGAGTGAAAACTGAAGTTGCAGTGCTGAGCAGAGTTCCTGTCTCTGATCTGCAGAGTCAGAATGTGCTGAGAACACTTTCTGCCTGTTGTTGTGAAACAACCTTTAGCCGCAGATGTTGCCTTGTCAGCGACTTTAAAGCAGAAAGTCTTTTCCTGGTGCCTCAGTGACTCCGAGGCTCCCGATCACTTCAGGGTTCATGAAGTCATATGAATTCCTGTTTCTACAAACGCTGACTCTTCATGACAATAGGTGAACGCTGTAGTTTCCTGCAGTCTGTGAACGTGTTTTCTTTCACTTCATCTCCCTTCATGGGATCAGGAATATTTCTTCCATGTATTTCAGGATTTTTATCGTCATGTCAGTGTCGATGTTTTTTGGGGATAACTCTTTTTATCTGCATAAACATAAAACGTTCAAAGGCTGAGAGTTAGAGGGCGCTGTTCTTCAAATGTGTCGACACCCCCCCAGCACATCCAGTGCTTTACGATCTATATGAGACTCGACACTAAAGACTGAGACTTAAACTCCTTTGGAAAATGTTTACTGACGTTATAAAGTGAGAAGTAGAGTCATTTTCTCATAGACTTCTATAGAAACTACCAGTGGAGTCGCCCCCTGCTGGTCAGTACACAGAAGACAGGACAGCTTCTACGTCCACTTTCATGCCGCAAGCGTGATTCCATTTGGTTTTTTGGTTTGATTCTGTTCCAGCTCACTCTTGTCGATATGATCATCTACGGAGCGCTGAAAGCTGCAGACTGTTACGCCCTCCGCTGGTCCAGAGTCCTGCGTCCGCTCCTATTGGTCAACATCACGGAGGGACGGCAGGTAACAGCCTCAGTCGTGGGCTCGGTCTCACTTCTGCTCGTATACGATACAAATATTATATTAGTTTGTGTGGATGTAGTTTCATTAATGTTGTCACAGAAATGAAGTTTTACGATGTTCACGCTCTGAGGTTGAGGACGTTAATTTAAGAGCACGTTTATCTTTTATACATATCACATGGTACTTCCTGTCTGACATTTGTTTGTTGGTGCGTGTGTGTGTTTGTGTGTTTGTTCATGTGTCAGCTCCGCAGGGCGTTCAGAAGCATCCGGAACGCTCTGCCTCAGATTTTCTACGTCTTCCTGCTCTTCATGTTCAGCGTCCTCATCTTCTCCCTCATGGCCCTGAAGCTTCTGGGTAAACGGTGAGTCATCAACATCTCGTCTGTTTCATTATTAAACAACCGTTGTGTACGTGAGACAGTTTCTTCACCTCAATGAAACACGCAGTTATGAAAAGTGTCTTAGTTTCATATGGACTCAACAGAAAATATGTGCCAACTCATCACTGAGAGATTCAATATCATAAAAACAGATATAAAACTTGTGTAAAATCCTTTGACTCACAACAGGAAGTTTGACTTTGGTTTTATTCAGTTAATTTTGTTCAGATTTATGTTTCAATATATTCAAATTATACATATTTAATTGGTGAATGTCTCATTTGTATATTTGAATATCACATTTCAGAAAAAACTAAAATAAAGGTTCTTATCAACTTTTTGAAGCTTGATGGTGAAATCAGTTTGTTGAACTTTGTGAGGCTGATTTATAAATCTCACGTTGTTGGAGTCGAATGATTTTACAGCTGACGGATGTGACATGTGTGTTTTCTCTTCAGAGGTCTGAAGACCATTGACGGATCTCCGTACTTCACCAACTACCTGGAGATCGTCTTTGACCTGTACGTCCTCGTCACCACGGCCAACAGCCCCGACGTCATGTAAGACGCTTCTGAAACCTCTCGTCAGTGTGTCGTCACCGATCTGTTTCTTTTTATTGCTGGCAGCTTCAATTTCCCTCAAAATTGAAATAGAATTTAACGTTTAAAGCAGAATTCCAGAATATGAGCTTTGTATTTATCAACATTTCGTCCTCGGTGAGCTCGTGGCCAAACTCTGCGTCATGTAGCCACGATTTCTGATGCTACCTTTTTTGTTTTCTGCTTCTCGTTGGCAGGATGCCGGCGTACAACTCCAGCTTCGTCTTCGCCATCTTCTTCATCATCTACATCCTCATCAACACCTACATATTCATGTCCGTCTTCTTGGCCGTCGTCTACAACAACTACAAAAAATACCTGAAGGTGCTAACATGGTTTCAGTCCCACTCAAAGACACAAAACACACTTTCACAGTGGCCTCAGAACCAGGTTTTATCCAAAGCTAACGACACATTATCAACCCTAGAAGCTAAGGAAGCCAAATCAGAGCTGGTTTTATGAAGATTTATCCACGAGAGCAACACGATATTTGCTGATTGATAACTTGATAACTCGAAGGCTGTGTAATCTATGACTGTCACTCTTCTTCTTCAAATAAACACAGTTGCAGGTTTATCACCCCAACATGTCCTTGTCCAACAGGAGGAGGTGCGGCAGCTGGTCAGGGCCAAAAGGCACAAGATGGTGCGAGCGTTTGCCGTCCTGCAGGAGCCAAGGGGGGAGGGGGTTGAACCGGTGGTGACCCAGGCCGACTGGAACCAAGTGGTACGACTGGTCCAGCCCGATATCAGCAACGCCCACAGAGAGCTGCTGTGGAGCGTCTCCGACAACAAGAACCAGGGGTTCATCGGTGGGTCACGCACACAAACAGTTTCTCTCCTCCTTCAACTACTCGTACTAACTCTATGGTTGATTGATTGACAGGTAAAGTGGCGTTCGTCCAGCTGGCCGACCTCCTGAACATCGAGGTGATCACGCTCAAGTCGAGACCGCACCCACTTCACCGTTTGTGCCCCGCCCTCTACCTGTCAGGGCCCAGCCGCCTACTTTGCAGATTGATCCAACACAGGTGAGGGGGCGGGGTTAACGGTTAAATGTTGACGAGACGTGACCTCAGAAACAACATGGAGGAAGTTACAGACACACTAGACCTCTGCTCTGTGTGTTCCTGCTCGTAGGGCCTTTGTGATCATGTACGACCTCATCATCCTGGTGAACGCCGTCTTCATCGGGCTGGACGAGGAGAATCCCCTGATCGCCAACTCAGAGTGGGTCTTTCTGGCTCTCTACCTGCTGGAGATCCTCCTGAAGCTCTACGTGTTCGAGCCCAGAGCGTTCTTCTCCAGGCACAACTTCTGGAACTGGTGAGGACACGATGTTCTTCACCTAATGTCACATTTACCATCGAAATAGGATTCCACAGAATCTTTGTCCCAAATAACCAAAGGATTCTGACGTCAGTTCAGAATTTTGACCCCTTATTACGACACCTGAATTTGATTGGACAATGACGGTCCAATCACGAAGCCAGTCCAGAGGGCAGGTGGTTCTGTGGCCTTGACCTCTGCCACAGGCCCTGAACGGTCGAGTCGATGGTCTAGATGGACAAACGGAGTCGTTTGTATGTCCTGGTGCTCGGACAGAGACGCAGTTTGTGCTCAGAGACGTTACAACAAATAAATCATCTAATCTCATAAAGAC